CTCGAGAGCGCGGCCGCGTCTCATTCACGTATATTGAAGCGGCGTGATGACACGCGCGCGTCGTTGATAACCTTCTCGACACGGACCGCTCTCGATTATTTCCTCCCCCCGTGGAAACTCAATTAGCGACAACGACTGGACTAATCGCACGACAAGTTGGAGGATCTCGTCGATGAGGAGACATACCGCGTCGCACTCGTGCCTGTTATCGTCCCCTACTTCGTTCCCTCTTTCGAAAGAGTGGCGAAATTCGAGTGGAAGGGCAACGACCACTGCTCGCTCTGACTCGTATCGAGCCCCGCAATAAACGCTTAATTAACTCGTCTTAGAGGCGAGCGAACGAGATGGCAAACGATTCGACAACGGGTGCTCGATAGAGTTGGGGAGGGGGACGATTAGATGGACGTGGGGGGAGGGGTAAGTTAACGATCCCCCGAGGACGATGCACGAATCTTGGCGCAACGATCGTCGGAATGCGGCGGCGGCGGCGGTGATTAAAAGAACGCTTTCTTCGAATACCGATGAGATGGCGCGCAAAATGGAATTTCTGATGATATCGCGGTTGCTTGGGGAGACGCAATTTTCTGGGTTAAGACGTTTAATTAAAACGCGCGATCGGAAACGGTGTCGGCCGGAAATTGTGCGAATTTCATCGAATTGGCGCGAATTGGGTGGATCAAAGTAAACGAACGAACGTCATGGAAACGTTCGCCTCGCCTCGCCTCGCCTCGCCTCGGGCGTAATTATTCGCCGTGGTTAATCGTTTCTGAAATCGCGTCAATTAACGTGGTTAACAGGGTTTCACGTGAAACGAACTTCTAACCTGTTGTTGAAACAGACGTTGCGCGACGGAGGGACGGAGTTGACCCCCGTGAATCGGCGAGTATCGAGTCAGAAGAAGAACCGAAGTAGAGATGAATCGTAGAATTAAAGCAACACGCGCCGAGCGTATCGCGGCGAAGGTGGAGGGAAAGCGTTGGAGATGCGAAGCGGTCGATGGGGGAATAGGAAGGGGGATAGGAAGAAGGAAGTTTTCGAAGGGTTGAGTCGGTGGCGCGATAAGACTCGGCACTCGATCACTCTTGTCTCGTATTTTGATTGAACGAGAAACGAGAAAACTTCGACTGACTTGAACGCGCTGACGATTTGCATGCGACTACCGAGTCCGTGCCAGCCTGCATACGGGAGATAGCATTTTATGCGGCTATTAAACGTTTAATTTTTTTTTTCCTCTCGCTGGAAAAAAGATTGGCGGAACTATCGAGACGCAAAAGTTACGTTAGTTTCTCATAATTGATCTTGGGTAACGAGGAAAAAAGTAAAATGTTGCGATCGATTTCGAATATTCGTAAAATTTATTCGTAATTTTATGCTTCCTTTGTAAAAATCAACACCCTATTTCACAGATCATATTTAACGAAAAAACAAAAGAAGCGAAGATACGTAGCATCAATAGCGATTTATCTTTAATCGGAACGCATATATTTAAGAAATTATACACACACATATATATATATATATATATGTATTCGATGAGAAATTTCACCGATTCCATCTCGGATTAGTGCAATTCGTAGACGACGTGTACGCGTGATTACCGCGTCTTGGCTCCGTTCTACAAATTTCGGCATACGAAATTTACATAAACGCAAACTGCTACGACAAGCTGGTATCTCGTGGTAAGCGAGTAAGCAACTGCCTGCTCGACATTATTCGATCAACGAGTCGACCACCGATTCCCCCGAGAATTCCACCTGCGCTGACCGCGTCTGGGAGAATCTTTCTAATATTCAAGAGCGAGATAACTAGATAAGACACAGGCCGAGTATATCAGAGCATGCGGTTAAAGTACCGCCGTCCCATCCTCTCTTGTAGCTCAATCTTCTCTCCCTCCGATCGTTTTCCATTCTACCACCTTTTACGACCTACCTCCTTGAAAATAACGTCGAAACCTGTTTCTCGCGCGCGCGACGGGGCCAAC